TTTATTTATTTATTTATTTATTTATTTATTTATTTATTTATTACGCGTATATAGCTATTAGGTGCCCCTGCCTAGGAGATAGAGGCCGGGTATACGATAGAACCACGACGGGTTCCCGTATAGACGAGACCGGGCTCCTATCTTAACGTGGCCATGGCTGCCCTATGCCAATACCACTATACAGGGCCGTGGCCTAGGCTTAGGCGTAGATATCTGTTTACGATATCCGTTTGACTATACTAGCGTTGGCCTAGGAGTATATAGTGCTTATGTGGTGCCCCCTCCTTAGTGTGGAGAGGGCAGCGATTATTCTGATTCCTTAGGACCACCTACGTTCGGACTAGCTATAACCACTACTTGATCCACGCCTATTCCCTTTTAGACCCTCTCTATACTACCTTCTTACTCCTTATAACTACCTATCTAATAGCAGCCCTAAACCTATAGCGCGGCGCCTATCGCCCTAAGGGCTAAAGGCTATAAGAAGCTAGGTATAGTAAAATAAAGCGTAGCGTAGTAATAAACAAAGGAAATCCTCCGTAATAAGCTATCTAATAAACCTAAAAGGTAAGAAACTAAAGTAAAATAACTAGACCGTAGGAATCGTGGTTTACGCCCTATACTACTCCACCCAGGCTATTTTAGTAGCTAAAATATAGGCCTATAAGGCCTATATTCCTCTTTTAGTAATAGCGGTAGAGACAATGGTAGGCCTGCTAGGGCTTCCCGCGGGGCTTTTCGTTCTTCTTTATAAAAAGGCAGGAAAGAATAAGGTGTGCTGTATTTTGTATAGAGGAGCCGGGACAGGAATAGCGGTTATCCGCGCAGTTTTAGGCTCTTTTTTAGTGGGTTTTCAGGTATCCGAAGCCGGTTTTTAACTACATAAAAGCCGATTTTACCCACCTAGGGCCTTATATTAGTAGTGGTTTTCGGGAGAAACAGAGGTTATCGCGGACTAGGCGCCTATAAACGGCCTAAAGACACCGATTTACCTCTCTCTTCCGCCTTCTTTTCGTTATTCCACAGGGTTTTCTAGTCCTGAATAAGGACTTTATTTACCCGGCGTTTTAGGTGGCTAAGGGTAACTAAGCTAACGGATTTAGTAGCTTTTTCGGAGTTTAACGCCCCTTTAGCTACTTTATCCGCTAATTCGTTACCCTCTATCCCTACGTGCGAGGGGCACCACTATATAGAAACCGAAGTGCCTAGTTATTTAAGGCGTAAGAGAAGGTCTTTAGCTTTTATAGCCCACTATAAGGTGCGCTAAAGCTTCTGAATAGCCGCCTGTGAATCGCTAAATATATAGCACTCTAGGCGCCTAGGCGTCTGCTCTAGGGTAGCGTAGAGGGCCTGAAGAATAGCGTATAATTCAGCGTCCGCGACTTCGGTAGCGGCGTCAAGGTTAAAACCTATAGCTTTATAGGGCCTTCCGATATTAGTCTATTATATTATAGCGGCTATAGCCTACGAAGGTCCTATAAGGGGCCTAGTAGAGTAGCCTAGGGAGCCGTCGGTATAGAAAATAGCGGCCTATTCGCCTGGGTTATATTGTATTTTAGCGAGGACTTCGAGGTGTGCTGTTTTCTGATCGAGGTTTTCGGGGCCAGGGCCAGGGTCGGTATCTGCTTTAGGTCAGTCTTTAAGGGGGGAAAAGGGTCTTAGGTCCGCTATATATTCCGAAGCCTAGGGGGCCTCCTATCTAGCCGAAGGACCCTTAATATCCTAAGACTAACCTACTAAAGCCACTGTTTTTAGGCCTAGCCTATATAGCTATATAGTAGGCTATAGGTTCTAAAGAAGGGCGAGGTTTTAGTTTTCGTCCCCTGGCTACCTTTAAATGCTAGCGAGGAGCTGGCGTTTGATAGGGTGATTCAGTAGGAATTTTAAGGTCCTAAAGGTATATAGCCTATTAGACCTGATTAACCAAACCGCTGCGGGGAGAACTGCTGCTTCGAGTTCTAAAGACTATAAGGGGGCCCTCCTAAACGCCCCTAAAGCCGGCGCCGTACTATAGGCGCTCTAGGCGGTCTACTAAGTGCTTTTTCGATAATTTAGGGTCCTACCAGAGCTACGAGCTAAAATCAGCTAAGGAGGCTATATAGGCTATATATAGCTGCTATGGAGCCTTAAAGAAAAGGCCCCTCTGCGAGCTAGCTAGCCTGTATAGCCTATTCAGGGCTCCTAAAGCTGAGTTTAGGCGTTTTTCGACGTGGAGTTTAAAGGATAGCTTAGGATCGAACCAGACCCCTAGCCACCTAATAGTACCTAGCGCGGGTTTAACTAGGTGCCCCCCTATAGTAACCGGAGTGTCTTCTTTGAAGCGTCTTCAATAGAAGTGAATAAGCTCTGTTTTTCAGGAGTCGAATAGTACTTAGTTAACTTTTACTACGTTGAAAAGGGAGGCTACGGCTTTTTCTAGGGCTTTATAGTTTTTCCTACATAATATAAACGCTATAGATAGCTAAAAATCGTCGATATAGGAGAGCTAAAGACCCCGAAAGTCCGGTCCTGCTATAACCTTCCTAATATAAATCAGGAATAGGATAGGGGAAACCGGAGAGCCTTATAAAACCCCTATATTTAGGGGGGTAGGCTATTAAACCTGCCCTTCGAAGGCTAGTTAGATACGCCTGTTTTCTGTAAAAGAGGCTACCTATTTAACTAGATTCGGGGGTAGTTAGAGTTTTTAAAGAGTCCTAAGTAGCTAGGGACGGGCGACGTGATCGAAGGCTCCTTTAATATATAAAAACAGCGTAGAAATTATAGGATTCTAGCGTGATTTACGCTATTCCCCGATATAGTAAAGGAGGAGAAGGGCCGTATCGATAGCAGAGCGTTATTTTCTACCTCCTATTTAACTAGGGTATAGAAGGTTATCGCGGGTATTAGCTAGAAAGCTAAGCCTAGTAGCTATAACCCGTTTGAGTACTTTACCTAGGCAGTTTAGAAGAGCTATAATCGTATAAGACTTAGGATCTGAATAGTCCTTCTTCCCTGGCTTCGGTAGAATAACCCCGAGGGCTTCTTTCTAGCAGGTAGGGTAGTGGCCTGCGGAAAAGAGTGCTAAGTAGGCCTGTAAAAAGGACCGGGGAATAGCCTTATAGGCCTATCGGATCGGTTTTAAACCTATCCTGTCAGGTCTAGGGGCCTTCCCTTTAGCGGCTCTAAAAACGGCGCGTTATAGCTCTATAGCCTATGGGCTAGGCCACTTCCACGGTCTTCTAAGGCCCTTACTACGTGATCTAGTTATGCTCTGGGGGCCGTTAGAAGGGTAAGAGGGGCCTAGGCCCCCCGAAGGGCCTGTAAATACAGGGGCTTCGGGGGCGTCGGTGGCGGAGGGTGCTGGAAAAAGGGTCTGAAGAAGGACGTGGTATTTATCTACTAGTAGTCTTTACAGATAGGTAAAGACTATAAACGTCTATAAGACGTTATTACTGCTTCTTAGTAGCCGGGGGGACCTATTAACTTGTTAGACCACCTCGATATACTAGTGGCACCGCGATAGTATAGGGACGACTTATATCCTTATACGGGCGGCGGCTATTAGCGTATTAAAAATAAGTAGTATCAGTGCTTATAGTATTAGTATAAGCTTTAACGTTATCGGGGTAGGTTCCTAGACGCTTACTATAACGTAAGTAACTGCTATATATTAGCCGCCACGCTACTACTCCGGCACTATTAACGTATATATATGGTATAATATAAATAGTACCCCGTTTATAGCGACTATTATTATTATTAGGAGAAGGTATCTACGGTTATTAGTACGCTGCTACTATAGCGCTACCACGATATAGAGATACTTATATTACGACGATATTTACGGTTAATATTATAATTATTATTACTATTACTATTACACTACCTAGTTAACCCCGTGCTACCGTAACGCTACCTCTAAGTTATAAACTATATACTAAGATTAAAGGAAAATTATAAATTAAGAATAAAGAACTAGAAAAAGCCACTAGTTAGTACGGTATTATAATAGTAGACCTACGAGACCCTGGACGGGAACGTAATAAGGAATACCTATAACGAGCTTTATAACGTTATAGGAAGGAAAAGAAGAAAAGGAAGAGGACCTTATCCTCTATTAACTATCTACTATTTTTACGGGTATAAGCGGAGCCCTGCCCTTTTTACCTATTACCGGATATAGTAAGCACCCCCTCCCCTTAAAGGAGGCAGGAACGCCTACCTTACCTTTTCTCTTTATTAATTAAATAGAAGGAATAATAGGTATAGTCCCCGGGGATATAGGGAGGCTAGAGATAGCGTGCCGCGGCCGCTACATAGCGGAGACGCTATAGCACCCTTTCGGCCCCCGCCCCCATATTAATAACCGGCCTAGGCTAACCCGAACTATAGCCTACTACCCTTTAACGTTAGCTATTAGCCTAGAGGTATAATCCAGATATATAGAAGGGATAAACCGGGGCTATATCGGCCCCGTAATAGCATTACTCTAATTAAGGATAAGTTTAGAGGTTTTCCCCGGGACCCCGGGTCTTCCCCTCTATAGCCACCCGAGAAGAACCGTATAGTCTAAACTAGGCTCCTATAGATTAGACAGGATAGTGGAGTAATAATAATAATAATAATAATAATAATAATAATTAACGATATCGTTAGTCGGCTCGTTTAATTAACGATATAGCTAGTCGGGGCTTCTTTAATTATTAACGATATCGTTAGCTTAAAATATAATAAGTATAGATCTCTGGGTACTCGGGCTATATATATAGATTATATAGGATATTTTTAAAAGATACTATTATCTTTATAGCTCCACTTAAAGGTGGGTTTATATATCGCTAGGACAAAACTTACATATCGGGGAGTCAGTCCCTATATTCATTCCTGATCCCCGAGGCGGTATATCACGTGACCATTTACCGATTAAGATACTTTACAAAAGTTTCGAGATCTTATATGCTACTCCTTGTCGATACATGTAAAAATCGGAAGACCAGCTGAGGGGAGGTACTTTCAGCATGGGCGCTCACCAGTCTTCAGCCCGATACGAGCAGGGTAATACGCCCGATGGCACACCTAGAAAAACCTGCTACTATGAGCTTCTTGGGATCGCTCAGGATGCCAGTGATAGCGAGTAACGTCTTGACTAACAATCCAACCCTCTACATGTACCATCCTCTAACAATGTAGATAGTATCAAAAAGGGGTACAGGAAGAAGGCACTTGAACTGCATCCGGATCGCAATTTGGGCAATATTGAGGACGCCACTCGCAGGTTTGCCGAGGTCCAGTCTGCATATGAGGTGCTGTCTGACCCTCATGAGAGAGCTTGGTATGATTCCCACCGAGAAGCCATCTTACGCGGCTCGGATGGGCGAAATTTCGACCACGACCCCCCAGAGTTCAAGGATGTTCGCCTGACTACGACCGACGATATATTGTCTTTGATCAGACAATTCAATGTTTCCGTGCCCTTCACAGATGAACCAACAGGATTCTACGGTATTCTCAATGAAACGTTTTACCACCTCGCCAGAGAGGAGCGGGCGGCCAGTGGTCAGGATCTAGGCGAGGTTCCCGATTATCCAAATTTCGGATTGTCAGGCGATGATTTCGAGACTGTGGTGAGGCCCTTTTATAGCGTCTGGGCCGGCTTCACTACCGTGAAGTCATTCGCATGGAAGGACAAATACAGGCTCTCCGATGCACCTGACCGTCGCGTGCGGCGAATGATGGAGAAGGAAAACAGGAAACTTCGAGACGATGCGGCGAGAGAGTTTAGCGAGGCAGTCCGATTTCTTGTCACGTTTGCCCGAAAACGAGACCCTCGCTACGTAGGGAACTTGCAGAGCGCCACCGAACGACGGGAGACATTACGTGCTGCCGCTGCCGCCCAAGCTGCCAGGTCTCGGGCGGCGAACCTGGAGAAGTTCAAGGACGAAATTGCTGTCCCGGAGTGGGTGCGGTCCCGAGACGAAGACGATGGGGACGTGCTAGGTCATTTCTCGGAGACCGAGACTGAATCCGAAGTTGAGTGGATAGAGTGCGTCATCTGTGACAAGTCCTTCAAGAGCGCAAAGTCATTCCAGGCCCATGAGAAAAGCAAGAAACACACCAAGGCAGTACAGCAACTACGGCGCCAAATGAAGAGTGAGGGGTTAGAACTCGAGTTGGATCAGCAATGGGCCGAGCCCGGAGATCCCCAAACTAGAGGGAAACAAGACTCGGTGAACACAGTCACACAGGAGATGGAGCAAGAACAAGTCATGGTTCCGGTGTCAGAGGCAGCAAACCCCAGGAGGGGAACGAGAGCCGGGTCAAACACCGATACTGCAGACTCTAGCAGCTCTGACAAACTCCTAGATGATGGATGTTATGCCCCGCGGACCGTGGTGCAGCAGAGAACGGAGCTTGAGACATCAGCCAATACTATGGTATCACAGAGCCCAGGGAAAGACATCGAATATGGTGGAATTGGCAGCGAGATGGAGAAATTGTCACTAAATGGGGATTGGGCCGATGATTCAAACCGCGGCGACCAACCAGCAAAAGTGAAAGGCAAGGCAAAGTTGAAGCGTGAAAAAAAAGCAGCCCGAAAAGCAACTCAGGAAGTACGCATACAGATCCACGAGACTCGAACACAAGAAAAGCTAACCGCGTTCATAGCACACCTGCAACATTTGCCAGGAGGTATTTCCTTCTAAGACACAGCTTTTCACACATATTCGCGATACAGGTTATATAGGACATAAAACCATTCAAGGGATAGCAGACAGGAAAAAGAGGCGTTGACTACTATAATTTTAAAATAGGGAAGGATTAGGGCGGCCGGATATTTAATATTAAGCTAGTAAAAGTAGAGTTATAATAATATATATTCCTTTACTTATATTATATATTAGATACTATAGCCACTGTATCGGGGTATAATGAACTGTATTATATTAGACGTGTAGAGTACCTCGATCCTATATCTATAGTTATTTCCCCTGCTTTTTCCTTATAGTTAGATATCCCTATAAAGTAATATAAACTGTACTTAGATAGATATAGATATAATTCCGTGTACCTTATTTATATTCTAATATTATACATACTATAATAAAGTAAGGCCTTATTAAACTATATTATAGGCCTATTTACTATAGGTAAATACCTAATTCTTTATTTTAACTATATAACTCGAATATATAACTAACGATACCGGACCCACACACACCACACCGCCTATAAAAGATAGTCTGAGCTTGCTAATAACCCTTGCTTATCTTGAGGTGAAGGCCTTCTGTATGGGTGGCTGGGATTACCCGAACGATAAAGCAGACTTGGTCCCCTCGGGACAAGCCGATGTTTGAGGTCCCAAGTCGCAATCATGCACCCTCGCCCCTAACATCTAAGAACGCCAGAATGCGTGCACTAAAGTGCTATTGTACACATGAGATCTACACATGAGGCAATCACAGCAGCATGCGGCGGGGATCCTCAATATACTCCTTCACCTTGACCAGGAACTGAACGGCTTCCCTGCCATCCAGAAGCCGGTGATCGTAGGTCAAGGCCATATACATCATGGGCCGGATTTCAATCTTGCCGTTCACAGCAACAGGTCGTTCCTTGATAGCATGAAGTCCAAGAACAGCAGACTGAGGAAGGTTGATGATGGGAGTGCCCAGAAGTGAGCCGAAGACTCCTCCATTGCTGATAGTAAAGGTTCCGCCGGCCATATCCTCGATGGTCAGCTTGTTATCGCGCGCCTGCTCTTCATGTCAGCATCGGGAAGTAATAACAATCCGTCGCATGCATATGGACAAACCTTCTTCCCCATGTCGGCAATGGCCTTCTCGATGCCGACGACGTCCAAGGATTCTGCGTTGCGCACGACGGGTGTAACTAGACCCTTCTCCGTCGCCACGGCAACGCTGATGTCAACGTAGTCACGGTAGACAATGGTGTCGCCACCGTTGGGCCCCTCGATGGACGCATTCACAACGGGCAGATCCCGCATCGCGAGGACACAGGCACGAGCAAAGGCACCCATAAAGCCAAGCTTGACACCCTGCTTCTTGAGTACATCATCCTTGTAGAGCTTCCGGAATTCCATCAGCGAGGACATGTCGACCTCATTAAAGGTCGTAAGAGAAGCAGCCGTATTCTGCGACTGCTTGAGGCGTTCGGCAATACGTAGTCTCATGCGGTTCATTTTCACCTTGGATAAGTTAGCACCGGGCCAGGGGTGAGATGCTGCGGGGTTGAGCGTGGCGGGAACTCCCGAACTCCGTGAAGAGACCTAGGCAAAGGTGAGCAAAGGAGATCAATATCAGATACGTACGCGACGTTCTTCACGCCTTCCAAGACTTGCGCTCGAGCTAGCACCCTGCGCGGGTGCTGCCTTGGGGCCCGCTGCGGTCTTGGGTGGCGATGCGGTCTGGGGGGCCGCGGGCGTCTCCTTCGCTGGCTCCGGCGTACTCGAAGGGGCGGGTTGTTTAGCCTCCTCGGACTTGGGTTCAGCTTTCGGCTCGGCGACGTGCTCGGGCTGAGACTCGGCCTTTTCTTGCTTTTGTTCCTTGCCGCTGAAAGGAGCACCACCAAGCTCAAGCTTCAGGATATCCTGCCCAACAGTCACGGTATCCTCTTCATTGACGAGGAATTCCTTGATTGTGCCGGCCTCGGGAGCATTGATAGCAACGTCGATCTGTGCGAAGTGGAGGGTAAAAATTAGCGGAAGAACGAACGCGTTCGGACGAAAGGCGGATCCGGCTTACCTTGTCTGTCTCAATGGTGGCAATCTCCTCATCTTGCTCGACATAATCGCCCACGGACTTTTGCCATTGTTTTAGAGTGCCCTCAGATATAGATTCGGCCATCTGGGGAACCTGTACAATCTTGTCGGCATAGTTCCGGACTTGCTGGAACATTAAGGGTAGCATGGACCGAGGTTGTGAGCGGCGGAGCGGCACCAGGCGCGCCGCCGTTAGGAACCGCCTCGTCATCATCTTGAGGGTCGTCGAGATAAGCTGCAATACGGAAGTCGAGGAGTTGAGGAGTCGAGGTCAATTAAATGTTTGCTCACGGTCGGGTAGCGTAGTCGATCGGATTTGGAAGTGGGAGAAGAGAAGTTGGAAGTTGGAAACCACCAGAATGGTGAGGTAATCGGAGCTAGACGATGGGTTTCCTAGCAGGTGCTCTTTGCTTGGTTGGGTTGCAGCTGATGGCTGAAGTTCGGCATTGACCGGCTTTCCGGAACTCCGGCGCGGAAGGACGAGGCGGAAAAGTTCTTTGTCAGATCCGTGTCTGATTAGTTGTTGCCAAGCCTCACCTTGAACTCCAACAACCGTTCTCGCCACCTGTCAGATACCACAGCCACCTGATCGAGGTGTAATAAACTATATTGTGTTATATATGTGGAGTACCTGGATCCTATATATCCATAGTTATTTCCCTTACTTTTCCCCTATAGTTAGATATCCCTATAAAGTATCTTAAACTTTACTTAAATAAATATATATATATATATATAATTCCGTATCTTCTATACTATACTGAAGCTGGCCCACTTTATTGTTCGGCACTTTTGGCAGCCTGGCGTTCGTAGTAGTACTACCGCCCGGTCCCCTTTTTCGGGATTTTATAGTGTTTTTCGGGTAACTTCCCTTTATAGTATATACCTATATAACCAGTAAAATTAAGCTACTTTCGTAATGTATAGCATTTACTGCTAATAGCCCGGTAGGTTATTAAGGGATCTTAGTACGAATCCCCTGTAAATTTGACTTTAGACTATATAGCGATATCTCTTTCTGTTCGTGGTCTTCTACGGTGCCGGTAAAATTTACTACCTTATTTACTACCTTAATCCTTTATGCCGTCGAGCGCTATTAAGCGCCGTCGAGATAGTTAGCTAACCTAATTCCGACCCGCGTATATACCGTGGCTATAAGAACGTTAAGCACTTTTCTAAGTTCGGTTATTATTCGCGGGTATATAGGATTTACGCTACCTATATAACGTGTGATACTACGGGGGTAATTAACCGAAACACCTATTAAGCCGCCCGTTATATACCTCCTATAGGCTTTATAGTACCTCCTTTAACCGTTCTAATAGGCTACCCTTTACTAGCTCTCCCTATGCCTCCTTAACTACCCGTTCTAATAGGTAACCCTTTACTAGACCCTCCGCCGCTACTTCCTCCGCTACTACCTCCTCTTACGCCCGCTCTTTAAAGGGGTGGCCGTCGCCGTGCCCGTAACCGTGACCCTAACACTCCTTAGTCCACTACGGGTTATTACTATACTGCTTATAGCCGATACCTTATAACGGCCGCTTTTAGTACACGCTAAAATAGTGCCCCCTATAATACCTGTAATAACTATAGTAATCGCAGGACGCGTTAAAGGGCGGTTATTACTACTAGCTAGCGTAGGACACGACCGTAACTTAAGCGCCCTGTGGCTCGTGATAGGCCACTAAGGTATTATTAGCCAGGTATTACGGTTTATTACTATAACCTTAGATTAATACGAGTAGAGTATAAATATTACGCTACGCTCTATTAGATTAGGGAGAAGTTATAGGTTAGTTTTCTATCACGCGTTATTAACCGTTAGCTAACCGCTATTATTTTCTTTTATATAGGAATTGTTACCTACGAGCCCGAAATTCGGCATCTATTATAACTAAGGCGATATCGACGTTCCCGTTATCTCCCCGCTACCCGACTTTTTCTAACGCCTATTATACGCCGATACCGCTTAAGCTATAGATTATAGTAAGAGAATCCGTTAATATAATAATACCTTTTCGTTTATATCTATATAATATACTAAGACCCGTCGAGGTGCTACAGCCGGCGGCGTAATAGCCTTCTAGATCCACGGCACCCTTTATTACTATACAGGGCTATTAAGTGCTATAGGGCGACTTCTAGCCTTTACCTAGCTATATTTTTACGACCCGTAGGCTACTACCGACCACTGCCTTACGAATACCTAAAGCCTTAACTCTATACTTAACCGTTATATTCTAGGGGAGATTTCGGACTTCCTGTATAAGTATAACCCCTTTATACGAATATATAAAACGGCCCGCGACCGCTTTAACTCCTTCCGTGAATAATGCCGTATTATACTTAACCCTAGGATAGAATTAGTTATTAAGTAGGGTGCTAATATACGGCGTAAGAATCTGCCCGTTATAGATAAGGTTACAGCTATTATACTGGATAAGTGGGGCAAAGTCTGCCACCGCGATATTATCCTTATAAAGAGACGGTCTAACGATAACGTAGGCGGCCTTCCGCGGATCGACTACGAGTATTCTACCTATCTACTACTATCTTACCCGCTTATATATCCGCGTAGCGGTTCCGGATATTACTAGTAGTTATAGTTACGGGATATTTATAACCGTTAGCGCTAGAATACTAACGTAAAGCTCCGTTAATTCTGCCGTTATATACTATACCCGCGATACTAGTAAAGGTTTATACCTTTTATATACGGCCGGCTGTTTCAATAGTTTTTAGTAGACTTAGAGGTATCCTGCGATTAGAAGAAGCTTAATTAGATCTAGCGCTATTAGAATAAGATACGGGCTAATATATATAACGGAATACGGGATTAGGCGTATAAGGCTAATAGCGATACCCGTAATATTAGCCGATAGATTATCTTACCCTTAAATTACGTTAGCGGCTAGCGGTTTATCTTATAGTACTATTAGGATTTTATAGTAATTATACGGGCTCTTAGCACTCTAACTTTTTTTATTATCTTTACGGCTAATCCTACCTAGCTAAAGATTATACGGGAGCTTTAGCTAGGTTAGACTACTAGTAACCGGCCTGATTTAGTCGGCTATATATTTAAATTAAAGTCCTATAACCTAGAATAGTAGCTGCGTAATAGTCTATTTAGTAAGTTTACGGGTATTATATAGACCGTGGAATACTAGAAGCGCGGCCTTCTATATCGTTATATCCTTCTTTTCCTTATACTATAGGCGGCCGAGATATATAAGGACGCTATAACTATCGATAAGGTTATATCTACGGAGCTACCGGACTACGAGTCGGATCCTACTAGCTATCTTTTTAATATTATTAGTAAGAATATAATATATAGTCCTTACGGTAATAATAAGCCCTCTACGCCGTGTATATAGCCGTAGCCTAATAACGGGAACCGTATAAAGTGCTCTAAACGGTTTCCTAAGCCGTATTACCCGGAAACGGCTATCCTAAGTATAGGGGCCGTAACTCTAGCCTACACGTTATAAAGAGGGGCCGTATAGGAGAGGTTTCCCTTAATAACCGTTTTATCATTCTTTATAGCCTATATCTCTGCCTCCGTTACGGTGCCTATATTAACGTTAAGATTTATAGATCTATTAAGGTAAGGTATTATATCTCGTATCTTATACTTTAATATTTACGGATCTATTTAGGCGATTAAGTACATATATAAGTATATTTATAAGGGTAGCGACTATATAACTACGCTAATATCGGGCGAAGAGGGCGAGGATTAGGTAAATATCTACCTCTAAAGCCGTTATATCGGTCCCGCGGAGGCCGTTATTTAGTTATTCGAGTTTCCGGTATATCGCGAGTTCCTACCCGTTATACGTCTTTCGGTTTACCTTAAGGGATAATAGCCTATATACTTTAGTAACAACGCGACTATAAGCTAGATTAAGCGGATATTACGGGAGTAAAAGACTTAGCTAATAGGCTTTTTCGACTATAACTATAATAACGTTAATAGCCGCGAGTTATTCTATTACTAGTTTCCTAGCCATTATATATGGAAACTGTAGTAGTTTGCTTCGTAGCCGAGGTAGCGTGGATTTTAGATCGGCCGTCTACGGTATATACCCCTAATAGCTAGAGAGGCGTACTATTTACGGTTACTCTTAGTCTCTATTCGAGGGCCGACTTCCTTTACGGATCTTTATACCGCGGAGGGGACTATCTACGATACCTACTATAAGGCCTACGTTATAGCCGGGCTTCTATACAATAACCGTTACTAGGTTACCTATTTTAAAGAGGCCGTTATTTAAAAGACCGGGCGTGTATTATAGGAGCTATTCATTATCGCTCTTATCCACGGAGATATTTCCGGCCCGCTATTAATATAGGAGAGGTTTACGGAGCCGATATATGATAACGTGCCTTATATGTTATAGCGCTAATACTTCCGATATCCTGCCGATTTAGAACGCCTATATATCGATTACGGCCTTTATCTTATATACTCGCGGCTCCTTAAGGTAAGTAGGACTATTACGGAGTTTAGACTACCCACACCTTTATATAATTAGCGCTATACGACTAGTAATATATTATTAGTTACGGAGACTTATAATCGCGATGCCTAGGCTACAGTATACGAAAATATCCACCGCCGGTTTAACTAGAGCCAGGCTACGGTATTTAGCTAGGTTATAACTGCTATTAAGTCTTATAGCCGCGGCGCCCGTTTCTTTTTATAGGGCCCCGATGGTATAGGGAAGATATTCGTATATCAGGGTCTCTACGCATATTTCCAGTTACGTGGGCAGATAATCCTCTATATAGCTTCCTCTAGTAATACAGCCGTTCTTCTTAAGGGTGGCTATATAGCCTATTCCCGGTTTAAGATCCCTTTATAGGTTAATAACGCCTTAACCTATAACGTGCTAAAGACTTCGGACCTTATAGTGTTACTACGGGAGACGGCTCTTATTATCTAGGATAAGGTGCTAATATAGTATAAGTTCTGTTTCGAGGCCGTTAATTATACGTTACGGGATATACTAAGCTATAAAGATTAGCGTTTTAGCGGGATTCCGGTTATCTTTAAGGGCGATTTTACCTAGATTCTTCTCGTTATTTATAATAGTAGTCGGGTATAGATTATATATACCTGTTTTTAATAGTCTATCTAGCCATAACTTAGTATTCTTTGCTTAACAGAGAATATATAAGTTACTTTTACTAATCCTGATAATCGGGCATTTATTAGTGGTTACGGGACCTCTCCTACGATACTGAACTTTATAGGTTAGTTAACCCTTTCCCTGCTATTACGGCTATTTACGATATCGTTTATCTATATAGGCGTATTTACCTGACTAAATTATTATAGTAGGCGCTATTAGACTATATAGTCTTTTTTAACCGCGTTATTCTAATAACTTATAATACTATTATCACGGCTATTAATAGGTAAATACTAGGGCGATTACCTGGCCGCTTATAGGTTTACTTAGCCGAGAATTCGATTACTAATCGGGGAACGG